ATACATAAATCTAACTGTCCTTTGTAAACAAATAGTATAGTTAGCTATGTCATGAGTACTGTGTAAATATAGTTAACTATGTAACATGTATAACTAACTATTCATTGTTAATAGACAATATAGTTAGCTATGTTATGAGCATTGTGTAAATATATTTAACTATGTAAAACATAACTATCTCTTGTTAATGGACATTATAATTAGTTATGTCTTGAGAACTCTGTAAATACTAGATTATGACCCGCATTGATACGCGAGTAAGCACATTAAGAATTATTTATATAAATTTAAAGTTTTAATTTGTAACCCGTCGAATTACCAAAATATTTTATTATACTATTTAAACACGGTTTTAAATCATTAGAAAATAATTTATATCATGTCTTAATCCATATCACACAAACCAAAACCATTATGAAGATATATTAATTATGTGATAAACAATTCAAATATTATAAAGTTATGTCAGAAAAATATTATGTGAATAATCTCATAAAACCTATAAATTATTTGTAAATAATTTTATCAAACATCACTTATAAATCCATGATTGATAAAATGTATACCACATATGTCGTCAGTTTTTTTCTCACAAAAATTTATAAACGTCAAACTTTACAAAAATGCCACATTTTTGAAATCTTTACAAAAATACCACTTTTTCAAAATATTTTTTCTTTATATTATTTATGTTTGGGTTAATTATGTTATATTAGGGTTTAGTTATGAGAGTTTAGAGGGTTTAGGGGTCAAAATATTTTTTAGTGTTTAAAATTTTAAGATATATGTTTTAAAAATCTATAATTAGTGACATTTTTGCAAATGAACACCCCTAGGTGATATTTTTGCAAATGTGCACATAAAAAGTGATATTTTTGCATTTTCCCCTAGTTTTATCAAGAACTGTATATAAATGTTCCTTAATAACATAATATTCTTACAAAAATTAACTATATGATAAAATCTTATAAAAATTAAAATATTATAGAGTTAAATCATAAGAAAATACACTTATGAATAATCGCATAAAAACCTATAAAATATTTTATAATAGTTTTATCAAACATATATATAAATCTATGATTGATAAATGTCATCGATTTATTTTTCATAGAGACCTATAACCATCAAATCTTACACTTTTGAATTCTAACAGTAAATATATTATTATTATTTTATAACATATATAAATTTTCATTTTATATAGTCTCCTTCTTTAACATTAAAAATTATATGTAGACGATTTCTATATTCTTTGTAATATTCTATAACTTTGTTTATAAAGTAAACTAGTGTAGTTCGGTGCGCCCTGCGCGGGGATATTGATTTTTAAAACTTTGCTATACCCGTAAAATATTAGCATCATAGCCTAAATCCTATTACAAAAACGTAAAATTTGTTTTTTATTTATTTGTAATCGTATTCCATCAAATTATCTGATTAGGAATGTTAAACGGTAGCATAAACGTTTAAACACTATTCACATAATCATTGAAAATTATACATTAATGGTATATATACATTGATATATAATTTATGTCAAATGAATAAGATAGTTTGAGAGAATAAGACTTGTAGATATAAAGTCATTTCAATATTTTAGATCCGAAGGGTTAGATTGCGGGTTGACTCTTAGTTGGAGAGTTGACCTGTATTTTTAATTGATTTGGAAGGTTTATTTACCCTTTATAAAACGGTGAGTGTTATAAGAACATTTTAAAATATTCACAAATTTTTTTAACTTTGTTAAGTAAACCTAGTAAGCTACACAAGTTTGTAAACTTAAAAATAAAGTAATGAAAATTGTTTTGGGTTTATGAATTATATATTAATAAATTTTATATAAACAATGTTCAACAGAAAACCAAAAAAATAAACAATAAAAATTGATAAACAAAATGGGTAAAACTAAGTTTATGTTGATAAACTATGACCATAGAACGAAAGAAATATTTAAAGAGTTATCAAAGAAAATGTTTTTAAGTAAAACAACGCTAAACATTTAAATCAATTATTATTTTAGCAAACTAAACGAGTTAGACTCTAAGAAGGGATCTTTAACTCTCGCAAACTAAATAAAATTGCGGTTCAATTTTAGTTCGGTTATAAAAAAAATGGATAACGTTGAAAACAAAAAATAAAGTGTTCTTCGATTTATTTTGGTTGAAAATTACTACACATTTACGGAGATCAAATGTTATGATATAATAATCATTTTATACTAATATCTTGTTAGATTTTATAGATATACTACTTATATTTTGACAAATAAAGAAGTTATAAACAAAATTTTAAAATTATTGAAACTTTTTAGTATACTTCACATGAAGTTCAATTTATGTTCACACCACAATTATACTTCACATGATGTTCAATTTCAATATATATCTCTAAAAATATATATAATAATTGCTACTCGTTCACGATATGATTACTATAACAATAAAATAAAATGTTATGATATCATATTTTGGTTTATACTAATATATCTTTTTGTGGATTTTATAGATATACTACTAATAGTTTTAACAAATGGAAGACTTCTATTTTTTTAAAAAACTATAGAAACTTCTCATAAATGTATTCAAAACATTTAAACAAATAATGTTTTAGCAAAATAAAATGAACTAAACCCTAAGAGAGAGAGTTTTAACTTTGGGGGAGTCTTAACCCTCACACAATGAATAAAAACTGGTTCGTATATAACATTACATAAAGACATAAAGTTTTAAGTAGATATAATTTTTAATGATAGCTAGGGAGTTAATTGTAGGGTGTTCGGTTTATTGTGGTACATGTAATTGTGTTCACACCTTGATTATATTTCACATGAAGTTCAGTATCAACATATTCCTCTAAAAACATATAAAGTTTGATTCGATATGGTTTTTAGTGAAAATTACTACACATTCACGGTATAGTTACTATAACAATAAGATAAAATGATAATACTAATACTCGTTTTAGGAATTTAAAGATAAACTATTTATATTTTAAGCAAATAAAAAGGTTCTAATTTCTTTTCTTTCAAAACTATATATAAAACCTTAGCATAAATGTATTCAAATTATTTTAAACAAATAATTTTTTGGCAAATTAGAAGGAACTAAATCCTAAGGGAGGGAGTTTTAACCCAGAGAGAGCCTTAACCCTCACACAAATAACCGGTTTGTATGTAACGTTACAGAAAAAGAAAGTTTTAAATATGATTTTTAGTTATATTTACCGAGTTAATTGTGGGGTATTCAGTGTATTGTATTACATGTAGTTGTGTTCACACCGCAATTATACTTCACATGAAGTTTAATTTCAAC